GATTTTACATAGTTTCTACGTAAATTCTACTGACATTTCTTACAGTGAAGGTAAAAGAAAAAGGAAAGACAGAATAATGAAACTTGAAGTTTTTTTTACCTGATCGTAGCTGTTTAATCCGTCCATTACTTGCACTGGGATCTATGGGCAGAAAGTCTTTGTACCAAGTGATTTCTGGGTCAGGGTTGCCACTGGCAGCACAAAGCATGGTGGCTGTTCGAGTGCGCTCCACCACTTTAAGCTGAGGTCCCATGTCAATGTTAGGGAAGCCTGGTGGGAGAAGGTCCTCTGTGAAAGGAAACATTAATACATATTAATTAATATGATAATTAGATACCTGGTTTTGAGAAATTCACACTTCTTTTTGCTTGTTTGAATGAGAAAAATCCAAGCATCTCATCCATGTCTTACTATTTCCCTTAGTTCCACAGGATACAAGCAATATTAAACTGAAATATGCAAACAAGAAGCTAAATACTGTAGATAAATAAGTGACCATCTTAAAAAACAAAGTAATGATCAATAAACAATAGAAATCAAACTGAAAATGAAATGCAAATACATGAAAATGTGTCGACAGATTTGGGTTTGTCACTTTTTTCCTACATACATCAAAGAAAATACTAGAACATGAATAAATAGCAAATTTGCTTTATCCTAATAAATTCTAATAAATATAATGATTATTTCATGGTCATTTTCAGATTTCAAGGTTTAATTTAGTTAATTTTTCAGGGGGGCAACTGTGGCTGAGTGGTTAGAGCAGTCGTCCTCCAATGCAAGAGTTGGGGGCTCGATTTCACCAGCAGTCACATGCCGAAGTGTCCCTGGGCAAGACACTCAACCCCTCATTGCCTCCGATGTGTGTCCCATCAGTGTATGAATGTGATAAAGAACTGATAATTCTATGTATAGATCTAGTAGAGTGCTGTATGACTGGGTAAATGAGGTCACAGATTGTGTTGTAAAGCACTTTGAGTATCTCAATAAGATAGGAAAGTGCTATATAAGTAAAGTCAATTTACCATTTACCCTGTAATTTGCTTGTTCTGTTAAATCTTCTGCAGGCCCAGGTATTCACAAGAAAAAAAATCACATCACATAATCATCACGAACATATATTGTAAATTGCATTCTATGCAGCCCCATACTGAAAGAAAAGGGTTAAACCAAAATGATCTTTTATCCAAAATATGTGAGAGTATTCAGACATGCTATTGTTATTCTCTTCCATTAAAAACCAAGCATTTTGTAAAATCTTCGTATTTTTCAGAAAGAAAAAAATAATCTAGAGGTGAACAAATGTCTTTCTAAGACAAAGGGAAATTGTTAAGTTTAGTAAACTGATTTTTTTTTTTTTATTATTATTATTAAAATAGTGCAGGAGTAGTTTTGTTATCCTACCCCAAACTCAATTCAAAACCAATCGCACGTTAGCACTTGTTTAGTGAGAATCACAAACCAAGCGATTACCCTACAGCTAATAATCATGCATGATTGAACAATTATTTTACTTTTAAGAGATGACAGTGTAGTGCACTCATTGTTCTCCGCTCTGCTGTCTTTTGGGCAATTAGTCCCATGGGTCAAATTGCCTGACCTTTACTGCGACTGGAGCCAGAGTAGTTATTCATTCTCAGATGACTAAAGCTGTGAGGGAGGGGTACCCAGAGCGGTAATAAGCATCAGACACTCAAGGCCACATCACAAATGGGAGAGGACTGACTGACTGAGATGTTGGCCAGTGGCACATCAGAGCTCTCCTGGCAAGCCAATGACCTCATGTCCACTTTACAGACATCATAGGGGTCTCTTTGCAACACCACAAGCATTAAATTAAAGAAAATTAGGACACTTTATTGAGTCACAGCTTTGGCAGAAGACTCATAAATCAGGGCATCTGTCTCTAATAGGCGGTCATAAAAAGCAGTTTTATTCTGCATGTTACTCTCGGTGTAACCAGCACAATAGCTTAAAGTGATAATTATCTGAATATCTTCTACTCTTGCCAATGTCTTCCTGTTTCAAGGCGAACTATAAAAGCATTTGAAAGTCAACGCAAAGTGAAAATACAGCAACTATTTCAAACTATTAGTAGATTTTCATTTATGAAGCTTGTTAAGGTACTTGCAGGTTTTCTATAACAAAAAGTCAGATTTCATCCCATACAGTAATATATTAATATTGTGTGCAAAATCATGTTCACAGTTTGACCAATAAAATACAAGATATGTGAAAAGAAAAAAAACACAAGAAACCAGGTTTTCTCTAAACTAAACTCACACAACTTGCTTCTTGACTTTAGAGTATAATAAATATTTCAATGACAGATTCAACGAAGTACAGGCATTTACTCTGTTTGAGGTTCTGAACTGTATCCTCTATCATTTATTGATGATCATTCTTGCATAATCTCTTTATACCAGTTCACCTGAAGCTCAGAGAAGCTATAGCTAGCACTTCACTTTGCAAAGTTATACAATATGTTCTCACAAACTCGCCTCTGTGCATGTCATCAATGATATATGTATAAGATACCATCAAAGGTGCTGCACTCTTGTACGCCTCTTGCTAGTTCTGTCTGTAGGAGAAGCATATCTGCAAAGGAAAGGTCTGGCATGCACTAGGAGTGTTACATCTGATACATTTGACAGTGCACCGCCTATCAGAACATCAAATTGCATTAATGTCATGGTATGAAACATTACACCAAGGACCACACAGATTACATTATTATAGCAGAAAAAAAAAATACACAGCGTGAGTGGATTTTAAAGTAATGCAATTAGGCAAGAAGCAGAGGGGAATCTGGATGAAGGAGCAAAAAGGGGCAGAAAAGGTGGACTATCTGACAAACCGGCCAAAGCAGCAGTGAACAAGCAGCAGGGATGGCGGATTCATGGAAAGATTATACTATCATTACAGCTGCTCTGACCTGATACAGCACCAGCAGCCTTTCCTGAACAAATGACATGTATGCTGGCTGCTCTCTTCCCTGGGAATAGAGTCTGATACCATCTTTCGGCCTGAAGCTTACAGGCTGTGTCGATAAAGGCGGTCATGCAAAAATAAATAGATCACTCATTGAGGGAGTGCTACTTTTGGGTTAGCCAGCTTGGCTGAAAAGGGGAAAAGGCAACCAATGATATGACGTGATCGAATCCTTGTCTTCCCAACGGGCCAGTCCTCCACAGAGTGGCATAGAGATTGCGTTTCAGTGATTTGTGCTTTCTGTGATGACAGATCTACAACCCATTCATGTGAATTATTGGTCAATGACAATGTTGGTGACTGTTTGCTGGGAGCAGCCCTTGTCCTTTAAGCCAACAATCATGTGACAGAACAATGAAGCATCTGCTGCAGTTAACCCAAGCATTTTACCTATAAATATTTAGGAGTCCCTAAGATAAAAAACTTGTTCCTAGAACCTAGAACAGCAAGGTTTATATGTTGGCTCCACTAAATGATACATTATTAGTCTTGATTTGCATGACTGCAAAGCTATGAGTTACCGGTACTTTGAATTCTGTCTTTTTTGGTGCATTTTAAAGAGTGATTTTAGACTCTTTAAACTCTTTTCAAACTTATATTAATAACATTTTAATAAACTACCTTCTAGAAGATGGCCAACTATCATAATCTCCCACAGTGTTTTTAACATTTCAAAGGTAAATAAATCATACCAGACCTTCTGATAAGTGAAGGGTTCAAACTGGGACAAGCGAGATTTATTAGATGTCTTCACTGCGTGGTAGGTATTCACCAACTTTTGATTTGTAATGTTATACCACACCACCAACAAAAGTTTAGTTTAGTTTTTTCTTCATATACAATGTCTGCATAAATCAGTTCACACAATATATTTCATATACAATATGGTCGTAAAAAAATGTCCTCAATAAACTGTTCCTGATCTCTTTTCGTAATTTGCACAAACCAGACACAGACACTTTGTAAGCAGATTCACTCTTCTGTTCACGGTGTTTTGACCGTGTGTTTACCTCAGTTTCTGGTTTAGATGTGCAATGAAGGCACATCAGACGGGTTTTGAAAGAACTGTGTAAGAATGTCTTCAGGAAACATTTAACCCAGGCACATGACAGCTCCAAAGCTTTTATTTATTCAATGATGTGCAGAATTTCTGTTTGTTTATTTGTGTGTTTGTTTTTCATAATGTTGTTAGGTCAACTTCAGCTGAACAAGCAAATGGATGACCAACACTGGCAGGTTATTGCATTCCATTGGTCAAACTTTTACACAGTAAATTAATGTTGACATTATCATAATGCATAAACCATTAATTTTTAAGTAATTCTAGCATCAGTAGCTTTAAAACTATGTGTTCTCAGCTTCTATGTTTCAGAGTGGAGAGAGTCGTAACTAATGATGTAGAGAAAAAGGTGAATCCCAACAGGCTGAGACTGCAGCAAAGTGCAATGATGTGCTCCACCATACCCCACACCTATTACTCATATTATTATTTTCACTTACTGCAATGATTTAATTTCATCAGCAGCTTAATCAGGTTAACTGATTACCCGGTGCGGCAGCATACACACATAAGCTTTAAAGAGGCTTGTGCACTAATATCACAAAGGTACAGTGGGGACAGGAGAAGAGTGAGATCGACACACGGGAAGAGTGAAAGAAATGGAAAAGAGGAAAATATATGATTAAAAGTGGAAGAGGAAGAGATGATGAACATCATGGAAAATGAGGGCCACACACTCATAGGATTTTGAAGAAAACAGATGTTAAACTAAACCCTTTTCACACATGAGATGGGTAACATTAATGTCGTCATCAATCTGTTAAAGCGACAGCATAAAGTCATTCACATTAGTCAATTTCACGTCAATGTTCCTTGGAGCTTTACTTCGATAAAAACACAAGTGAAGAAAGATATAAAGTAGTGCACAATGATGTATTTGTCGTTCATGTGAGCTTGGATATTAAGAGAAGAAGCTCTGTCCTTACAGAGTCATAGTTTCCAACAGAATGCAGATGATCATCAGCAATATAAAAACAAACTTAAGGTGGGTAAATTACACATGGCACCAATATGTTCAACCTTGATCACATTATTATAAACATACATGAGTAAAACAGGAATAAATGGCACACCAAGTGGCTCAGACTTTAGACACTTTGTTTTAATTAGTTCTGCACCTTCATGCATGTTCTACGTACTACAACATACACCTACAAGTTCATATCAGGAAGATGGTCCATCACTGAGACATGAGTTTAATTTACTTACAGGGAGGTGATATGCCACATGTGGGGAA